ATTTCTCGCCTGGTTTGTGGTTTTTAGGTGTATAGATTGAAGTTCAGAAAAATACAGACTGTAAAACCTTCATATCAACACGTGTTTACTGCAACGTTTTCATAAAACCTATTGAAATAAAGCTGAAAGTCCACATGATGATTGCTTGATTTTAAAATTTACTGTGATCGTTTACAGAGGCAAAATTAGATATGTATATCCATTGTTAAAAATATGAGTTTCTCATAAGTTTGCAGAAGCGACCTACCTCCTGCAGATTCCATATCGGAGTCTGAGATGTGAGTGATGGAGAACCGGGAAACGCTGGAGGGAGAGACGGTAAAGCGGGAATACTGCACGGCTGGTTTAGTGTCTGGGGTTGTGGTGACGGAACGGGGTGGAGGGGATTCAGATGCGGCTGAGGATGTTGGCAGTGGGAGTAGGGGGAAGTCATCTTCCCACTCAAAACCCGCACCTGAGTGAAAACAGCAAAGGGGAGGAAGTAATAGTTTGATATCTTAACATGAGAAAGTCTTCAGTGTGCTAATACATCGTGTGTAATCATATTCACGTTTGCACATTTGAAAGTAAAAGAATGATACATACTCTCCTCCGAAATGTTCCCGTCTGACGAGTCATCTGAGGCATTAACCCTTTCTTGGGGTTTGGTTCGAGAACCTTCCGCTCCTAAAGGAAAGCCATGCTCGGCGAGCTCTTTAGTTGGGCTTTCCTAGCAGTTGTGATATTAAAAGAGTCAGTGAGTGGACCAGAATAAACATTATTGATGTGCCATTAATAGAGCCAATATTAAAGCTAATCTTCCCTCTTTGACACTCACCTGGTCGAACAGATACACGGTAACATCGTCGAAAAAAGACACTGTTTTCTTCTTGTGTTCGAGCTCCTCCTCCAGGTTCTCCTCGGTGAGCAATGCTGGCATCTTGAGCAGGCTTCGCAGTTTATGGGCCTCGCTGTTGTCGCTCACCACAATAGGCACCGGGTGGCACTCTTCCTCACTCTCTTCCCCTCCGCTCTGTTCCTGCATATTGTAGCTTTGCAGCTCCTCGTCCGACTCGTCGCTGTCGTCGGTATCGCCGTCCTCCTCGTCGGCCTCCTCCCCGTCGGCCGGAGATGCTCTGCCCTCTGTTGCGGGGAGCGGAGGCGGTGGGGTGGACGGAGGTGGAGGAGAGGAAGAGGAAAATCGTCTGGCGTTTGAGGTTTGTTGCAAAGCTACCTCATCTTTGGGTAAGGTGTGTTTCGTTTCACTGGATGTGCCTGATGGCCTGTTCTGAACCGTCTCGGTTGCTGCCTCCTCTGAAGTTTCTGAAGTTTGAGCAGAGTCTTTTATGTCATCTGCTTCCTCCTTATCTAAATTTACGTTGGTGGCACAATCTCCATTCAGGGCACCAAGAGCTTCTTCCATGGCCCCCACCACCTCAGCTGCCCAGTCTCCCAACGATGAGCTCTCTTCCTGTGATGGCCATTCATCCAGCCCTCCCTCGGTATCAGAAGGCTCTGGAGGAAGTCCTAAAGTCTCATCTTCGCAACAGTCCTCAGTCAAGTACTCCTCAATCTCTGATGCAGGAGAGAATTCTGTTTTGTCTGTTACAGTTTGTTTCGTTTCAAGTTTTATGTCCTTCTTCACTACAACACCCTTTAGTTCTTCCTCTCTATCATTTTTCCTTTTTGCAGCTTTCTTTTCTGCCATGTTTGGTTCTTTTGCAATGTTTTGCTCATCTGTTTTCCCCATCTGGAGTTCCTCTCCCTCATGCCGAGTTTGCTTTTCATTCTCATAGTCTGAAAAGTAGGCAGAGTCTCTGTATGGCGTCTTATCGCTCAAGGGTAACAGAATTTGGTCATCTTCCTGTGATGCTTCTAGTGCCAAATCTTCGCCCATCGATGACTCACCCACTTTAGCTTCAACTCCCTCTTCCTCCAGGACTTCTTCCTCCTCCAGGCTGGCATCGAGAGCAGGTTTTCCTAAAGGTTGTTCACGAGGTTCATGAGGTTCTTTGGGAACAAACTCGGGGCTCTCGTTATTTTCGGTGTCATAGCCGCTGTCCATAGCTTTAGGTGAGCTGGAAGGGTGGGATGACGCAGGGCTGGAGCCTTCACAGGACCCAGCTGCAGACGGCAGATCCATGGAATCCATGGAATCGGGTGTTCCTACCTGCTTTTGTAGCAACTTGAAGGCGGGAGAAGCGTTCAGCTCGCTGGACTCATCAGCGAAGATGCCTGAAGTAACATCGGTTATATCGTCCGTGATGTCTTCCTCTTCGTCGTCGTCGCTGCAGTCGAGTATGTCAGCGAGGCTTACGTTGGAATCTTCACGGTCGACGCCACTGTCACTGGTGTGACTCATCTCTGACTGTGGATCTGTCACCGCCACCATCACATGCGTGTTATCATCAGGAGGTGGAGTGGCTTGAGTGGCTTTTGTCATTGTTAGAGTCACCTCTTCTTTTCTAGGCTCTGGCAGTTTCTGTATGATTTCCTTAATAACGTCCTCCCTCTTCTCTTTGGATTGGACATCATCAGTTGTAAGATCGACGTACTGTTCTCCACAGTCCACAGATTTGGCCACGATGGGACCTCCTGGAGCTGGTGATAAATTGATCATCTCTTCATTGCTCGGCATGTCAATGTCTTTATCTCTGTAGTTCGCGTGACTGTAGAGCTGACAAAAGCTTGTGTTTCGAACAAGCAAGCCAGTGAGTGGGTCAACAAAGTGCGAGTGGCAGCACTCTCCAGATGTTGGCACCTGAGTCTCACCTTCATGGCACATGTAAATGTAGGCATTGCAGTTTTCCGAGGGCACCATAGCATGATGTTTACTTAAACTAAGGCAGGCACTATTATCTTTGACCTGGTGTGGCTCAAGATAATCGATGGGTTTGGGTAGAGAGTGAAAGGCCAGGCTGTGTCCTTCTGGCCAGGAGTCCTCGATGTCTGTACTCGGCATTGTGTAATGGAAGTCGGCGTAGGTGTCCTGTCGGCAACTATGGCTTGCCCGTCTCTGGTGACCGGCACTGCTGTGGCGGTGCTTCGAAGGCCAAGTATTGCACGTGTGTCTCTCAACAAATATGTCCTCATCTTCCTCTTCTGAGTCGCTGTCTCTGTGTCCGATGAAGAGAGCCCCCTGAGTCTCCATGTTTATACTGACAGAGTTGCTGTGGTGTCTTGTGTGGCTGGGCATAGTCTTCCTCAGGGAACCCATCATGTCATAATAACCTCCAGTGACGTTCTTTCCTATAATGGACGTCTGACTCGTGTCCAGATATGCGTCTCTGTAAGCCTGCTGAGATGGACTGTTTATAGAATGGGATATCACCAGTGGGTTCTCCAACTCCCCCAAAGCCTGACGCAGGCTTCTTGAGCCCCAGCTTTCCTGATGATGCTCTCTGGAGAGCTCACCTCCAATCAGATAGTGATCTATTCCCAAAGGTGGTGAGTGGTCAAAATAATAGCCCCCGTCTCGATCTTTATAGGACACGTAGTGACTAGACTCCCAGGGTCGTAGGGGGCTGTTGTCTGACACTTGACCTAAAAGGGGTTCCATTGTCAGGGAGATGGCAGGACTTGAGTCGTTGGAGTCATACATGTCAGATTTATGGATGTCAGCTGACCAATAAGGACCCATAGTTTTAGCTTGTGATGGGCAGGCCATGCACTCTCCCGAGTCTGCGCTCCCAGTCAGGAAGCTCCCACTGCTGCCCTGGTAGTCTGGGCTGTATGAGACCATGGTGTAGTCTGGATCAATGTTACAGTCTACTGGTTCCTCAATGCGAATGTAGTATTCACTGTTTACTGAGGGGCTATGGGCACTGAGGACAGGAAGTACACCTGGAGCGTGTAGATGTTTAGGTTGATAGTAGGAAGGAGAAACTCCATGGCTCAGGCTTTCCATGGGACAGCCTCCCACAATGCCTCCAGGTGGGTAAAATGCTTCCTGACAATGATGGTTTACCTGACCTAAGGTACTAGAAGTGTCTGGGGCTCTGTATGACTGGTCTGCCCTGGCTTGCTCCCACTTGTACTCAAAGTTCAGGCCGTGGCTGGTTTCTGTGACTGTTAGTATGTCATCTCCAGACTCTGAGTGGTAGCCATCACCATTAGAAAATGGTTCTAAGAGTGGGAAAGATGAGGTGGTTGATGAGGGGTGGTCTCGTGACATCGCTGAGGCACCACGCTGACTGTTGAATCCAGTATTGGGACGCATGGAGTTCCAGCGTCTCTCAAAGTCCTCTTCGGCCTCGCTGGCCCCCTTGGCACATAGGTAGCTGAGCAGCAAGTGAACTTCCTCTGCAGTTGGCCTCTGATCAGGCTGCAGCCAGCAGAACTGCATCACCTCATACCTGTGGAGCCAAAACACAAGGCACAAAGAAAGAAAGAAAAGTTTAATTAAAATTAAATGAAAGAAATAAAAAGTACAAAAGTAATCAGCTCGATACACTCAGAAATCGACCTTTTGATTTTTAGAATTGGTTTCCCGTTTGTAATATTGTAGTTAATACTGAGAGGAGCTATTATTCTCTAACAATGGTGCATGCTCATATCAAAAATGGGCAAAGTTTCAAATATTGACTTCTCCAAAATCTATTTCATCGGTTTTTTCTACTTCTGGCTGGTATGATATTGGTTTCTGGTTGTGGTAGTGTTCTCCAGTCTTTCTGGGCTGTGGGCGTTTGGTGGGCTACAGTTCATCTCAAAACCAACCGTGTTGGTGTGAACTCAGTGTTTTACTATCCAATAACAGCCTCACTGTAAACACTCAGTAGCAACCAAAATTACCGCACTAAATGCCACAATAAATGTTATACATCAATTTATCAAGTAAGGTGGGTGATAATGAAGTAATTAAATATATAAAAAAACTCAAATACGTAAAATCAGAAAATAATATTGCAAAATCTAATATGCAACATAATCCAAACCAAAAAATAAATATATACACGTGTCATAACTGAGGCATGGAGCTGCACCAAAGCCCAGTATGGAAGTAAAAAAATTACTGAGATGTTCATTGTGAACTGTGAATCATACAAGGCTACAGTAACAGAGTCCAAGAATAGTGCAACAACAAAAGAATAACAATTGGAAGTTCATTAAACATCATCCTGAAAGGGATTTAATTGTGTTGCTTTAAGTTTTGTGGGGCGATCGTGGCTCAAGATTTGGGAGTTCGCCTTGTAATCGGAAGGTTAGACAGTCTCGGTCGTTGTGTCCTTGGGCAAGACACTTCACCCGTTGCCTACTGGTGGTGGTCAGAGGGCCCGGTGGCGCCAGTGTCCGGCAGCCTCGCCTCTGTCAGTGCGCCCCAGGGTGGCTGTGGCTACAATGTAGCTGCCATCACCAGTGTGTGAATGGGTGGATGACTAAGGGGTCCTTAGGGACTAGAAAAGCGCTATATAAATACAGGCCATTTACCATTTTTGCTGCATTTATGTGTGACTCACCAGCGTTCAGCGAGGGGTACTTTGAGCAGCGGCTTGGGCAGTCGCAGCTGCTGCTCCCTAACAGCGTAGGTCAGCACTTGTCTGTCAGAATAGTGTCTGTAGGGCTGGTTTCCCAGCTCGAACAGCTCCCACATAGTTACCCCAAGAGACCTGAGACACAGGACAAGATTAAATATATCTTATTAGTGACTTCATGTACATTTCATGTATACATTTCTTATAATCCTGCAGTAACGTCCATCCTTTTATCTACTGTTAAAAACTTACAACTATATAAGCGTTTGTTAGTGTATTAATATTATTAAAACTCTTGTGTGTTTCATTCTTTATAACTTATATCCGCAAACTGTTCAGAAAGTAATAGAGAATTACAATAATATTATCATAATATATATTTGGCCTAAAACTACATTTCAAAATTGTAATTTTATTCAACAGAATGCAATATAATCATTTTGTTTTGGACTTTTGTTTTAGACTAGGGAGTGACGGCACGTTGGTGACATCCTCAGTAAGTTTGGAGCTAACGTAAGGATTGTTTTAGGTAACTTGGTACAGTATTTAAAATGATGGTTAAGGGCCATACATGATGTCAGCGAGCGTCCTCACAAAATACAAAAGATGCGTCTATGTGCATTGATCAGATACCAGATGTTGCTGTGTTTGGTCTGGTCTGCCACCAGCAGGTTTCCGTGCACCTCGTCCACCAGCTCTGGAGCGATCCAGCGCAGGGGCACGTACATCTGGTCTGATGTCACGTAGTAATCGTCCTGAAACGAGGGTCAGGTAAATTGTTAAGCTGCAGAAATATGACAAAAATAAATTCAAACTAATTCAAAACCTGCTGGACAATTTATCTTTTTCTGATATAATGCTAAAAAGTGAAAAGAACGTTCTTATAACCCTGCAGAAATTTACTCGACTGTGATTAATGTGGACTCACTGGGAACTGACTATTTAAATAACGAGCTTGCTTTTTTGTTGCCTGCTGGTGATGAATACAGAAGATATTTTCAAACTTTACAAAGATCAACAGAACCAGTTTGTTGTTTGCTGATCTTTTTCACATTTAACACACTTGTTGTGTACCTTGTACTTTGTGTGGGCCAGACCATAATCTCCGATCTTCACTGAGACATCAGCCGTCAACAAGCAGTTTCTTAAAGCCAGGTCACTGGAGAGGGGGGCAAACAGCTGTTATGTCTCTCTAATATTAGCAAACACAAAACAACAAGACTAGAACATTTTTATCAAAAATACTTAGAAGTCCTGCAAACAACAGTCCTGTGTTTTCACAGTAGGCTAAAAATAAACAAAACAAATCAAGTAAATTTTACTAAAATGAAATAAAATATACAGGAAATGGCTTGCTGTAAGTGCCCAACAGGACAAGAGTAATTACTTGTGTTGTTTATGTCATTTAAAGCTTCAGATACTTCTTATTTTGCAATTGAAATACGAATCTATACAACTATAGGTAAACTTATCCACCATGATTTAAAGTCATGACTTGAATAGTTTATGTATGTTTTGATGAGAAAACCAGGTGTACTGTAGTAGGAATACATCTTTTTCTTTTTTTGAGTATGAAGTGAAATGAAAACGAGATAAAATAACAATAAATTATTGGAAAAAATACAAAAACCGGAGTCCTGGAGAGGAGGGATCACCGCCTGCAACAAAATCACTGATGCTGGAGTCTTTAGGGAGCACTCAGGCAGCACCAGGATATTGTTCCAGGAAGTGACCGAGAGGCAAAAGGCTCATCTCAAATTCAGAGCGAGATATCTGTAACACTTAGGAGAAAAATCTCATTGAAATAAAAGAAAATCTTTTTGAACAGAGCACAGCAGACAGAAAAATAACACACGCACACAAAAATATGAAAAAC